CCCGACTGACCGCTCTAGCCCGGGCGGCTGACCACTTCGGTCCGACCGGCCGCCCGACCCGTTCGACCAATCACTTTGATCCAGTCAGCCACCTTAGTCTGACTGAGGAAGCTGACTACGTTGTTCCGCGCTGACCACCCCGATCGACCCAATGGGTCGAATAACCAACTTCACTTACATAGTGTGTTGTTTGAATTGCATGATTGTTGACTTGGTCGATTGAATGCCATCGGTTTGATCATAATAATCGACTACTTTTCATTGACTTGGTCGATCGGCCTATATCGGTCCAATCGATTTGATCAGCTACCTTCATTTGATATGTTGAATTTGTTAAATGCTTTTCACATTGCATGCATCACCACATCTACACTTGCACCTGTTGTGCACTTGTGAGCATATGCTTATAACGAGTGTTCGTGCCTCTCATAGGTAAATCACTTGACAAACTTGCTCTACGAAATTTTCGCATCATGGCGCCCTATGTCACTAGTGTTTGCACTCACACTAGCATTCCCTCTGCTGTTTGCTTTGCATGATATTTTTTCATAGTCATTATCACATGCTTGAGTTGCATTTTGAGTGTTCATTCATACACTCACCCTACTTGTATGATTCTATCCAATGAGAATGATCGTTCTCAAAAGTCATTGTTCTTTGTGGTACACTTGCTCACTCGAGCCAATGCCTCCAAGGTATGTCCACACCTTCCAAGCTAATGCCTCCCCATTACACTCTAACCCTTTCGGGTCATTGCCTCCATGGTACACCCATCCTTTGGGTTGCTACCACCAAGGCACGCTCAGTCTTTCTGGTCACTGCCTCCATGTCGCACTTATCATTTGGGTCGTTGACTCCATGACACTCTCAACCATTTAAAATACTGTCTCCACGTCGGACCCATTCCTTTAGGCCACAATCTCCACGAAAAACCCACCCCCTTCAGGTCACTGCCTCCATGGCACGCCTACCTTTCAGGTCACTGCCTTCATTATACACCCATCCTTTTGGCCGCTGCCTCTATGGCACGCCCACTCCTTGTTGTCACTGCCTTCATGACACATTCATTCCTTTGGGTCACTATCTTCACGACACATCCACACCATTTGAATCACTGGCTCTACAACACACCCACTCTTCGGCTAATTGTCTAAATGGCACACCTATTCTTTGTATTATTGCTTCCATGGCATGCCCATCCTTTTGGGTCACTACCTCCACGACACACCCATTTTTTTGAGCCGCTACATCCACGACACACTCCTCACTACTTTATCATATGATTGCTTGCATTTGCATTTATATGCATGCATAGATAGCAAGCCAGAGTCGATAGGCAAGTTACCTCGCATTGGTCATGATGCCTTAATGAGCATTGTTTGTTGGGTCTATCCCGACAAGCAATGCCAGTTAAGGCACCAAGATTGACAGAAGTATGACTATGTTAAGGATCCAAGGGATCTAACTTGTGTCACTCTGTATTTTATGTGTTTTTCTTTAATGTCCCTTATTTTAAAACTAATAAAATATTTTTCTACTTATTACATTTGCATAATGTTAAAGTTATGCATGTAGCAAGCCAAGCCATACGTAAGGCCAAACCTTTTCAAAATCCATCCAGAGTGACATCCTTTTAGATCCCTTGGATTTTTGGGACTGGGATGGTGTGGCGACACCATTAAAGTCATAAATACCCGAAGACTTACCTAGAGCACTTAGATGTTGGTTAGGACGCCTTCTCGTTAGATTGTGTGCTAGACAAGGATTTAGGATGCTAGTTAGTCATTTTTGATGTCATGACTATAGTTCTTTGTTGATATGGTTGATCTAGCTCAGCCTCACCTTTTGCGCTTTTGGTGTGTATGCAGTTTTACTAATTTCAATATGTGTGGTAGTATATTAGGTCGGTCTTCTTGCTGGGACCCATACCTAAAATACACACCACACTTGTAACAGGGAGGAGCAATGTAATGATTTAAATAATAACTCTTTTCTACAGCGCTGCTTGGTCCCCCTGTCAGGCAAGACTCATATGTGTTGCATGTTTGTTAGCTTTATCACTAACGTTGTTTTCATGTGGTCAAGTCTTTTTTTTTTAAACTTTCTTATAGACTTTTTAGAGTCTTTAGATGAGTCTGTACTATAAATAAGGTACGAGCACGAGATATGAGGTGTCAGGTAGGTGGAACCATGTGACGAGGACTAGGAGCTGTTTACTAGTGTCTCGTATCTTAATTCTAAATCTCCTTGATGTATAGAATTAGGACTAGGTGTGTACTTATGTGGTGTCTGACTGCCCTTTTCTTTTTTGGGGTATGCCATCGACCCGGCCTCATCACCCTTTTATTATTCTATATGTGGTTTGTTTTGTTATTTTTCTTGCATGCTTATATGCTAGAATTAACTTCGATTTTTTTAGATTATGTTTTGTTTAAGAACCAATCGTTATAACTTAGACTCTCTAAGGAACATAATTTTATAAAATTTTTCTACAAGATCATAATTAAAAAATTAAATTAATTAAAATTTTGGATTAAAAGATTCAAAATTTTTAAAATCTGCACTTTTTATTTTCCTGCATGACGAGGCCAGATTTTAAACGGGTTGCAAAGCATGACCTTCAACCAAGTCATTCTAATAGGGCATCGACGCTTAGGACTTGAATAGATAAGCATACCAATTGCATGTCATAAGGAGAAGCCCCTGTGCTTCTCTAATATGATTGACCCAACATAAATTTCTATTTAGGTGATTGTCTAATGCGCTTAAACTGCTAGTGGCTTCCCGACCTAGATGGTCTGTATGTCCTTTGTTAGGAATGTTTCTAGATTTGTAGTTGAACCTCCTTTTCTCTTCCTTTTTAGTGACATCCTTGTTATTTAGATGGGTATAAGTCTCACCTCTTGGAGCTCTACCTGATAGTCATAGGATAAAACTTTGTTCCTTTGAACTTAAGCCACGGAGATTCCCACGGATGATGTAATTTACAAATTACTGATCAGAGATCTCTAGATAGGTTAGGTCGACTACATTCACGACTGTGTAGACTTAGAGTCCAAGTAGCTTGGAATAACGAGTCCATGGTGCCCCGACTTGGCTACCTCTACATGTTAGGGATTACTCCTCCCTTCTTTTGACTAACTACTTTGAACCATGTCGCTCCACTTGCTTTTGTTGATATCATCTTGACGACCTGATTACCGATGAGTTGCCTTCCATTTGTGATACAATAATTTATTTTCTGTCCTAATGAACCGAAAGTGCTTTAACCTATCGGGATACCCCATCAAGATGATCTAGTTATTTTGTAGGCTCTATGTGCCAATGAGTCCGTTACCCATGTGGGACCATGAGAGACTCACTTTCCACCCCATGACTTAGCGAGAGCTTTGAAAGCATTGGAGCATTCCCCTACGAAATAACTATTCTTTGATAGCTCTGTGCTAGTTGTCACTTTAAATGTAAGCAAAATTCTCTAGATCAAGAGTATTTTTGGGCAACCTACAAGATGTAATTAACCAAGTGGGACACATCCCATTCGAAGCACTCTGGACCCTAGAATAGGCAAACACCCATGAATCAATGGTTGTGGGTAGCTTTCATAGGCATTCTTTCGCCAATATTTGGCACAACTATTTCGGTTTGATCTTGTTCGGACATATATGCTTGGCCTATTTTTGTGAGGTTTGTTATACGAAAGTTCTCCACATTTTTTCACTTGTTTGTGCATCTTTGCGATATGTCCTGCTTTTCTGGTTCCTATCTTTTTCTGATCATTCACAAGATTTGGAAAAGAGATTATTCGGAAAAAAATATATATATATATACGATGATTGACAAGTTGGAGACTCCCTTAAAAATAAAAAGAGAAAAGAACGAAAATAATTTCCATTGATATAAATTTTATATTTTTCTATTTAATTTTTTAAAGTAAATGTTTCTATATAACTTTAACAGAACATTATTAAATATTTTAAAAAATAATTTATTCGTATAAAAAATGATTATGAATAATCACATGCACATAGTCCTTTGAATTCATGCACAATTAGATCATAAGATGGTGCATTTGGATCTCTAACCAAAGTACTTAATGGATTAATAAAAATGCAAGGAGGCACAACTTTCTTTTTCAAATGAAATAGGCATTAACATATAATACTTATAAACTATAAATTTCTTTCTCCTTAAATTGGTATTTCAAAATAAATAAATTGTCATAAGGAAGTGTAATAACAATTCAAAAAATATTGTAACTTCTATTTTTTTTTTTCAAAAAATTCAATAACTTTTAATTTCTTATAAGAGAATGAAGGCATGTCTGAGATGAAAAATATTATAGACAATTCGAAACTTGCTATTTACAGATCAACTACCCTCTTTCATCCATTTTTCAAATTCTCAATCAAATATCAAAATTCATGGTAGAACTCCAACTCATATTTTTCAATTTTTTTTTTTCAAATTCTCAATAGTTTGACTGTAGCAAACATAAATACATCAGTTCGATAGTTTAAAAAAATCAACTGGTTAATTTGTAAATATCAATGTTTCGGCTAGTCCATATAATTATCCCAAATTATTTTTGATCGAACCCAACTCATCCAAATTGATTTGATTCAAGTTTTTGAACTTCTTAACTTGTCAAGCCTAATTAATCTTTAAATTATTGGATTCAAATGTGAACAAACTAGTTTGATCATTTAATTTTTTGAGGCAATTACAAGTTAAGTAGACCAATTCAAATTTATTTATTCATTAATTTAAAAGTCAAACTTAATAGAAATAGCTATTGGCTCCATCTCCCTCAAGTCATTGAGGCATGTAATTTACTTTAAAAATTGTGCTCCAAGTTAGGATTTTTAAGAATCCAAACCACAAGAAAATATTCCCATACTATTTTATTCTTTTATATTCAAAATAAATCTCTTCTCTTTGAGTGATTTGTTTTTATAATAAAGATACATTTTTTAATAAAGAATAGAACTGATATTTTCTTGAGACCTCACCAATTTTTGTAGAAAATTCCTTCAAAGCATTTTTGTTCTGATAAAGTTCCTTCTTTTACCACCATTTCTCGCTTCCTCTGCTCCGCAGATCTCTCCCCACTCTCTCACGCCTCTTTAAAGAGGGGATGAAGTGAAACCAAAAGCTGACGGAGCAGTAATCTTTTCCTCCCGGCAGGTCATCAGCCGCCGCAGCGCGGAGATCTCACTCGATATTGAGCTGGCGAATTCGCCGGAGAGTATCGGCTTCATTTTTGGCGGCGATTAGGGATCAGGATGTACAAGAACCAGTTGCAGGAGCTTGCTCAAAGGAGCTGCTTTTGCCTTCCGTCTTATACTTGCATACGAGAAGGTCCGGATCACGCACCTAGGTTTAAAGCTACTGTCAACTTTAATGGCGAGATCTTCGAGAGCCCTAGCTTCTGCACCACTCTCCGCCAGGCAGAGCACGCAGCCGCTGAGATCGCTCTCAATGCCCTCTCTTCACGCGGTCCTTCTCACTCTCTAGCCGCCAGGATCCTGGTATGCAAGTCCTGTGGATGGAATATCTGTTCCTGGTTTTGTTTTTTAAAATTTTGCCCTAATTTTACGTCTTAGATGGTTAATATTAAGGAAAGTTCGCTCTTTTATATCGATTCTTTCATATTTCTGTGGTAGTTGTATTTGGTTATTTAGGGTTATGACTTGAGAAGTAAACATTCAAAATATGTGATTTTGGGGGAAACAATAGGAATCAGGCTTGAATTAATTGAATCAAGGGGTTGGGATTGTGCTTAGCATACCTATAGCATCAGATATAGTGGCATTATTAGTTACTATTATTAGGTTTGATGATAGAGATGCATGCTTCCTTTTTATTAGTTGATGAGTTTATTTCTTTGAAGTTAGGGTGTCTTTATCCCTTTATTTATTCTTATTTTGACTTTAGGACTCCCATGATTTCTTAGTTTATGTTTGCTGATGAAATGGTGGCAACTTTTGATTTGGGGACATAGATGTATACCTAACCAACTTTGATGTTATCAAGCTAGTTGACTTGATAAATGGAATATTGTTTTCTTACAACTTTTTTTAAGGAAGATTTACATACTTACCACTCTATTCTTATTTATTTACATATCTAACATCTAAAGTTTAATGTTTACGTGCATCCACTTTACTTATGAATGAAAAGGAAATGGTGTTATTTTTTATTTGATATGAAAGATTTTGGTGGTATTAGCATAAAAAAGTAAGTTTGGGAGTTTGATATGTAAATAGATAGGAATTGTGTGATATGTATGTAAATGCCCCTTTTTAAATATTATATATATATATATATATTGAAATGATGTTTTCTATATTCTAAGGCACAAATTTGATGTAGGCGGTATTTGAATCCTAGAACTTGTTAATTTTTCCGATGATCTTTATCAACTAAGTTAGCTGATGCCCATTGTGATGCTTGCCACACCTCAAAGTATGCACATAAATTGATTATTTAATATGTTTTTCTTTTATCAAAAGGAGGTTGCCGGCGAACATGGCAACCCTAATGACATTGAGTTTTGAGATTGTGTTGAAAATGTGTTGACTTGTGGGACATCGACACCACCCTTTAATTTTTATAACAAGGTGCTCTTTGGATTTTAGGCGGTTTTATGCTTTTGAAGTTTTATAACATTTTGGTGTTTTTCTTGTAGTTTGCTTCAGTTTTACTAAAACTTAGTACATGGATTCTAATAATGGCATGACCCTAGTAGATTATAGCTTTTCTATGTATGTTTAAACTTGGCATTTTAGAATGGTTTCATATACCAATCATTGAAATTACTATGAATTGATGAATTTTCTCTTGCTTTTTGTTTGATAAAAGTTTTAAGTGTAATTCACATTTGAATCTTGCAAAAATATCCAAAGAAACAACCCAGACTAGACATTGTTGGATGGCTCTTAATCGCTCGCACTTTATATCTTTCTTCTGGAATACTTAGAACAAAAAAATTGATTCTTTTCTTGATTCAATATCTGCTCCAATCTAACAAACTATTATTAAACCTGAATCCCTAATCTGTATTTGACTATCACCCCCCTTCGTTCTATTTGAATCATACTCTGGTACACCTCATTGTTGCCACTGCCGTATGATCACCAACCTTTTTCTTCGCCCTATAATCCACAGCCTATGTTCTTTACTCACACAGTAGGGCTAGAGCCAGCTACCAATTTCGACCGAAAATAGAGACCAGCTCGTCTTGTATACTCAGCTCCTTCGGTTTGATTCCAAATCTACTTCTATGATTCTTGGAGCTAGTAGCTTTCGTGTACATTTTGCTTATGGGTGGAACCAGTTGCAGCAATCAAAGGACAATATTTTATGAGTCAATTTGGATTGAAGAGTAAAATTGCTACTCATGTATAGCTTGTTAAAGGAAAGCTAGAATTTCAATAGCTTCTATTTAATTGAATTATGTTGATAATATAGGCAAGAGAAAGGACTATTAAAGGAAAATAAAATAATAGAGAATATTTTCAGTAATGAAGATATATTATAATAATAAATACCATCCAGTCCTACTTTAACTATTAACTATATGATATAATATTGATATGAAAAAACATAATAACTCTAATAACTCTTAACACAACTTTCGGTCCATTATTAGTGAGGACATCTAGAGACCAATGACATATTTAAGAACCATAAATAACTTTGTCACTCCAACTTCCATTTTTCACATGTATTCCGATTTTAATTTTCAGATTAACGTTTGCATTTGCATGAGGAGTTCTTGAATCTGGCTAAGGGTCTGTTTGGAATTTCTGCAACTTTTTGTAAAGGTGCTTGTAAAGCTGTTGTGAGAAAAACAACTTTTAAGAAAGATGCAGAGTGAATTTATATATATATATGTATATATATATAATAAACCAGTGAAAAAACAGTTTCTTAAACATAACTATGATGATAACCTGAAACGCAAAGCAAACATAAAGCTGTTTCAAACAGAAACTAAATCAAACATAGCACTTTGATGTCTGATGTCATGGTGTTCTTGCATAGTTAGAACTTTCACAGCCTTAAGTTTTTTTTTTTTTTTTTTTTTGAGAAGATTCTGAAATCTTTGTATTGTGTGGGCCTATTTGGAAATCAGTGCTTAGCAAGTTTTCTTGCTAGCCCCTTGTTTTTAATTGTATGGCCTTCAAAAGCGCTTCTGCAAGGATCTCAATCTGTAAGTGCGCCTTAATTTGAGCAGGATGAGACTGGTGTGTACAAGAACTTACTGCAAGAAGTTGCACAGAGGGTGGGGGCACCATTACCATCTTATAGAACTGTTCGCTGCGGTCATGGGCACCATACTTCGTTCACATGCGCTGTCGAGCTTGCTGAGATATTGTTCACGGGCGAACCAGCTAAGAGCAAGAAGCAAGCCGAAAAAAATGCAGCCATGGCGGCATGGAATTCCTTGAAACAATGTTAGTTTTACATGTTTTTGCGTTATAGCTTGATTTTGATGCTAAAGCTTTCATCTATTATATGAAACTAGTTCACATTAGCTGAGTTTAAAAAATGGAAGATTTACATACTGAACACTCAATTTCTATTTATTTACATATTTATCACTTAAATTCAATTTTTACATGCATTCCCCCTCACGTGCTTGAAAAGGTATATTTCACTTCTTCATAGTTAAAATGGTGGTATTTTTTCGTGTGATATGAAAGAGTTGGGTGCTATAAGTGTAAATAGCGAAGTTTAGATGTTTAGATATTCAAATACATATGAATCGGTGGTACGTATGTAAATACCCCCTCGAAAATATCACTTTATCTGCATTGCATTGAAATTATTAAGAGGCCATTTGGGATCACTTTTTTTTATTTTTTATTCTATTTATTCTCTTGCTTTAAAACAAAACCTATTTGGCTATTTGATTTAGTTTGGCATCACCTTTGTTTTTTGTTTTTTTTTTGTTTTTTTTGCTTTTATTTTTTAAAATATTAAAATATGTTTGGATAGTATAATTTTTATATGTTTTTATTATTTATTTTTCAAAAATAGTGGCGCGCCAAGAAATGAGTTCACTATCCGAACCCGAGAACAACGACGAACTTGAGCAAATCACCGTCGCCAGAGTACTCCTGAACTACCGCTTGAGAGAGAAAATAGCTACGGCAAATAACCCCAATGCTCCCTCATTCCCTAAGAAATTTCTGGTTCATCCTGATAAGAAGCCAATCTCGTTGCCGACTTCGTCTTCCGGATCGAAGATACTGCCTATGATTCGTACCAGATCTTCTCCCAAAACTCGTCCCATCTCCCCGAGACCGATTGATGAATACAGCTTTCAACCACTCAAGTTTCATGGGGCAGGAGCTGCTGCACCTTACATGCCTTTCCAGCATTTCAGAATGTCCTCCGCCGGAGTGGCTGCGCCGGTGACTATAAGAACTTCGGTTCCAGTATTCTCAGCTCCTCCGCTGCCGCCTCCAGCGGTTTATTCGCATTTACCTCCCGTTATGAACTCGCCGTGGCGAGTGGCGCCGCCGGTTCATATCCGTCCTGCTGTTCCTGTTTTCGCAGCTCCGCCAGCGTTATTCCCTGGACCGGTCCAGGTTAGCCAGATTCAAGCGAAGGAACCAGCTTCTAGAGTTGGTGGAACCCAGGTTAAGGTGTGCCCAGGTCAAGTAACTATTGCTGAAGAAGGGAAGAAAGAAGCTTCTCTTGTGACTGCAGTTACAGTAAAGGAAGAAACCCCTGTTGAAATCAAGGTGGAGGCTGCTGTGTTGAGTTCAGTACAGGTGAAGGAAGAAGATTGTGAAGTTGTTTCAGCTCCAGGGAAGGAAATTGTTAAGGCTGATGAAGAAGCTTCTGCTGAAGATTCAGAAAGAAGTGTGATTAAATCTGAGCCTGCTGCAAAAGATGATTTTCAGGAGCTTGAAGTGCTTGAGAACTTGAGAACACTTGAGCTCTGATGGTGTATTGAAAAACCTCTTTTTTTTTTTTGTGGTTTTTTAGGTGGTATGCATTCTGTGCTAGTATTTGGAGATTGTAGTTGGTGGATTTTAGTCCATCATGCATAAATATTAGTTAGTTATTAATGCCGGTGAGATTTTAAATTGAGATTTTAAATTCATTAAAAGTGTTACGCTTGATTAATTAGTTAATTAATTAATTAATTAATTACTATTATATGGCTTGTGGAGGCTAATCCACAATGGACTTCGAAGTGTGATTAGAGGATTGGAAGCATCGTTTTCAATTGAAATTTTGACTATGCATACCACTCAATGCCTGTATTTACATATTAAAAGAATATTTATTTCACTTTTTAAAAGTTATAATGGTAAAAAATAGGAGAGGTATAAATATAATATAGTAAAATTTAGGTGTTCGATGTGTAAAGATATGACAATTGGGTGGCATCTATGTGAAAGCCCCTTCTCAATTTTAATTGGGGTGGGCAGAAACGTCGGGGCAGATTTCTGACGCAGAATCTGCTAGTTGGATTGGTTTTGCAGCACATAATTATGTGAGATTAATATGTTAATATGATTATCTTAAAAAAATATAAAAATATATAATAATCTTGACTATTATAGTTTTTTTTTTTTTTTTTTTTTTTTTTTTTTTTTTTTTTTTTTTTTTTTCCTATCATCTTCACGTGACGTGATTTTATTGGACTTCACATGTAACAACACGTGCAGAAGCCAATATTTTTTCGGAGGTGTAGGAGACATTTTACACCACATAAATTGATGCGGTCATGCATTAAATGTCGCCATTTCTGCCTAAACATTACAATTTCACGTTGAAGAATCATGTCAGCATCAAGATCAATTAGATGGTCCTCATCATAAATAATTAATTAATTAAAAAAAAAAGATGGATCTCATCAAGCATAGAAGATTTTCTTACATTGCCAAGGTTTGGGTTTCCAAATATTTAAAAAAGCAAGGACCCAATTGAGGTTAACTTTTTCATTAAAATAGAAAAACAATTCGGCTCATACCACCTAATTCCTATGTATTTACATATCTAACTCCTAAATTTCACCCTTTTTTTTTTTTACATTTATACCACCAAAATCTTTTACATCATTAAAATTTGAAAAGTAAAAAATACACCAACCCAACATAATTATGTTGGCGGATATGTAAAGACTAAAGTTTTAGGTGTTACAAATGCAAATACATGGGAATTGAATGGTATTTATGTAAATCTCATAATAAATAAAAAGAGAACACATTCAGTTGCTTGATTCTGCCATTTCTCAGCATTTTCTATGCATAAAAAATAAGAATTTGGAAGCCATACAACCCCAGACATAAAGTCAAATATACACAAATATTAAATACAATTATTTTCGATGTATTATTAAAGAAGTATATATGCATTGACAATATTTTTAATGAAACCAAAAATACAAAATAAAATGAATAAACCCTTCACCGTTAAATTAACCAAAAAAAAAAAAAAAAGGAAAATATGAACAAAAAAGTATAATGAAATTCACATAAATCTCATGAATTTATAAAAACCAAAAAAATATAATAATAAGAAAAGGATATATATATATATATCTGTGTGTGTGTGTGTGTGCCGCATTCCTTGTCTAATTGGTAGGCAGAGTCACTGTAAGTTCCCTATGGCAAAAGTTCGATCCCTACCGTGGTGCATGAGAAGTCGAATTATAGGCACATGGCGTGGGCTCTCATCATGGGGCCGGATTGCGCATGAGAATCTATATTTGGGCCTCTGCCAAATATTGATTTCCTTTATATATAATATCTAAATATATATTTTTGAGCACACTCTCTTATTTTTTAAAGTGCTAGAAATACACGAATTCTATCCGTTCGCATCAAGACTGAATAGTCTCCCAATGTTTTTCCCATAACAATGCTTTATAAATATGGATTAGAAAGAAAAAAAGCAATTTAAAAAATAGCAGCTACATTTTCAATCATTTTTTTCTGTATTTCGATATTTTTTCAAGTGCTTGTCAACAGAGCATACATGCAAAAAAAAAAAAAAAAAAAAAAAAAAAAAAAAAAGAAAAAAAAACAAATGAAAACAACAGAAGACTTTCCTATTTCAAAACCATACAGAATAGAGGAGAAAAGTAAAATACATTACAGATAATGACACAAGGTTTTTTTTTTTTGTTGAAGGTTTAGTTTCAAAAGTGAGAGCCGGTGAAGAAGACTGAGTGCCACTAAGGAATCAATTCACACGTTGTACAAGGAATCATCAATTCACACTTTTGAGGGCGTGGGATGCGCATATCTACAGATGATGCCCCCCTCTTCACAAACATCAAATTCAACTTGCAGCAAAAATTATGGTCGCAAGGTCCTTCTTACATGAATAATCACCGGGATAAAACTGTAAACAATATGTAAGGATTGGAGTTGATGAGTCTCACAATTTTTAAATAAATGTTTAAATTATGAATATAAGAATTTACAGGTTCAAATCATTTAATCCAATCCTACTTGCGAGGAGTGCAGTCTACATGACAAATTTCTAAAGATAATAAAATTGATGAATTAAAAATGAATAAATTCCCCGATAATGGCCGTGTTAACTGAAAATCTCAACCGAAAGAGGCAACATTAAAATAAACTTTTCAAATTAAATTTTCAAAGTAACAAAATTAAAATTAATCACTTAAACATTTAAAGAAAATCTCATCCACCGTCCGCAACAGTTTGTCGAGGACGATATACTTTTGATTGACATCAACTTATAAGTAGTGAATGTCATATCAAGTGTATCACAATACTAGTAATTAAAACAATTGTATGTTAGAACGTGGCCCAATTCCTCTATTCGCGTGGTTTTGCCGTCAAATATAACTACAAAACAACGATTACAACCATAGTTCTCTAACCGGGTGATTGCTGCCAAATTAAACCATTATATTACGAGTTTTCTAATAATTTTCTATCATAAGAGTACAATTGATAGTCACAGAAATATCTTCTGTCAACTAAGGTCAACTTAAATATGACCCCTTAAATAAACATCCACCTAGATCTGCAAGGGTCCCTTGGACGACGCAACCCGTGGTTTGTAAAAATGATTTTTCAGTTAGGTTAGGTCGAATAGCTACTCTGATTAATTAGATCAGGAACCACAATGATCCAGGGTGACATAACTATGAGATTTTAATCATGTTAATTGTCATTTCCCCCACTTAAGCTTCAAAGTGATAAATTTTACAACTTAAACCCCGTCTGCTGCTACTATATGTTAAATATTCAACTCTAAATGACCAGCCTTAATCGAAAGTGTTCTCCTGTTATCATGAGGGGTAATTAACCATAATGGGTTTGCTCATATAGAAAACCTCAAACCCCAAATCAAAAAGTCTCGCAAAATAAGAGCAAAATCTCAAAGTAGTGTCTTATCTACATTATCTCATCCGTCTTCTGAAAATGAGACACTCAAAACTCTCAACAACAAAAACAAAATAGATTCCGCAACATTCGGAATTTTCAGAGCCCACATGGGGGGCCTAACAATTTTAGGTAAATCATGCGTCATAAGTCTGTGGTAGTGCATGACAAATATGGCATGAATTTTTAGGTAAAAAGTCCACAACTTCTCAAAGTGTGGCATGAATTATTCAAGAACAAGAAATTTGGTTAGAAACTAATGTAGAAGTTGTGGTAGTGCAGGACGAATGCACCACTATTTTATTTAACTGGACCAATGCAACGTTGTTTTATTTAACAAAAAAAATGCACAATTGTTTATTTAACATTGTCTTCGAATATGGGATGCAAGCCGCATAGCTCCAATAATCACGGGAAACTGTGAGATGGGTGGGTCGAATCAATCTTCATTTCCTTTATGCTTTCTTATATAGCACATTTTGTTTTAGTTATTTCCTATATAAATGTTGTATTAGAGTTTGGAAGTCATTTTTCATGTGTTTTGTATCGGGACAGTCGTCGATCGTCTCTTCTTCCCTTTGAGGGTTGTATCCTAGAATTCAAGATGGTGCTTCAACAATATCTTGGTCTCCACGTGATGATTATTTTCACCATCCCTTTCTACATCCTGCCATGTCACTCACGAACTCCCTCCCTTGCTGCAACAGCTCTCGTACAACCGCATATTGTTGTTTTTCCTATAGTTTTTGAACTCCAACCACCTGTCCTCATTGCCACCACCAAGGGCAGCCATCCTCTTGTTATCCTGCAATCCCTCTCATTTCCCATCGCAGTCTCCGACATTCCCACTCATTGCAATTGCCTAAAAACAATCATTTTTTGTTGTTTTCTAGCTCCAACCACCTAGCCATGTGTTCCTATCATTCCAACTTGCTTCCATTGTTGCAACTCCCCTTTGATGTCGTCATCCTCCTCCCTTGTTGTCGCAATCTAGAATAGCACTTTGGTTGTTTGGTCATTGTCAAGCCCCTTACCCTTGCTGCCACAGCCTAGGACAACCCGCCTTCTCGTTGTTCCAGTAGTTTCTTACCTCCCCTTTGTTGTCATCATCGCCCCCTTGCTGTCACCCTACCTTTCAATTTATCCACCGTCCTTTGCTACCTCTCCAGAGGGCTGAACTCTCGCCGATCACCATTACCACCCTCGAGATCCACCCTAGTTAGAGTTAGTATTGATTTTTTGATATTTCATATTATCGTGTAATGTGTTTTTGGTATTTCCTATTTCAGTTGGTTTATAACTTCCCATTTTAATTTCAACAATAACATTATTGTTCCGTTGTTTGGGTTAACTCCGATATCATAGAGATCTAGATCAAACCCAGCTCACTCATAATTTATACCAACTCAAAAGAAACATCAATCTTTGATTAATATCTTAAGGTAGAAAAAAATTGAATGTGCCCACTTCATTTGTTAGAAAAAGAAAAATATTTTGAAATGCCATATTTATAAGGTAGATGCAGTGTCTAATGTAACAGCCCAAACTCTCACCCATCGAGATAATGTCTGCTTTGGTCTAATGACATCACGATTTTGTCACATTCGCATAACTTCCCAGGAGGTTACTCATCCCACAAGTGCTCCCGTACTGTCATGCTTAAATTTAGAGTTTCTGATGGAACTTCAACCATTGCACCAAAAGGCAACTTGATGTTTAAGACTTCGACAACATTCTACTTGAGTGATTTCACAATCTCCTCCTCATCATTAATTGATTTCACATCAGTGTTAGTACTCAGAATCATCCACCAGCATATTTGATTCTAGAGGTGATCCCTACAAACTCAAAAAGTAGCTCCCACCATGTATGACTTTGTTCAATCTAGAATTTAAGAGCCGACTCCCATAAGTAGCATTTTATTCTGTCTAACACTTAGTTTGCATATTTTATTGTCTAACACTTGATTTGCATCTTCAAGCTGATTTAACTTTGTGATACCATTTGTCACAGCACAAAGTTTCACTATCAACATATTGCTTTTTGGCTTAATTCCCTGTAACTTCGAGAAATATGAAAGTTGCAATATAATTGAAATGTAAAATAACTAGTAGAGTTGTAGTTGAGAGCGATTTTAGTTTGTTAAAACTTTTAAAAACTTATTTTAGGAATTTCACTTGATGTTAATAAGGAATGTTATATTATTGGAGAACGGTTAATTAATTTAGAATTTAGTACATTAAGTATTCAATTTTACTCAAGATATTAAAATTAGTAAATCATTGATTAAAGGTTGAGGTGGGGTAGAAGAGAGTGTAAGATGTTGAAAACGTCAAGTCAATCTATTGAAGATCAAGATTTAAAAGAGATAAGCAATGGGTAATATATTTTCAAGTCAAAGTAATTTTTCTTGTTTCTTAACCTACTTCATTTAACAAGTATGTTTCGAATTCAAGTTCTTCATTATTATGATTTATGTTGATAAATTTTTTGTTGCAATTGATCCATTATTATTAGAAAAAAAAAAACACTTAAAAGTTAGTTTTATTTTAATTTTATAAATGCTTATACAATAGTTTAAACACTAGTTTCGTACAAACATGATACATTGACTCTTACACCATAACAATTTATTTATTAAAATATAAAAATAATATCAATAAAATGATAATATATGTTATGACAAATGGAAATGAGAACACAAAACGTCTAAATACTTGCATGTGCATGTTTGAAAGGTGTTCATCCCTTCTAGTATCAACTTAGGATACTAATGTACTGATCTACGTTGATGTTTTCATGCCACCTCCAATAATAGTAAGCTTTAGACCACGCTACCTTGAGCCGACAAGGGATGTATCGGCTAAGATGAGTAGATGTCATTTCACCTCAAACAAAAATATATTTATTCAACGACCTGCTATGCTGACAAACTATGCATCAATCATGAGCGAGTTAAGTTATGTTCAGATAATACTCCTAATACAGATATCAAAATTCAGATATATAATATTAATTAAAAGTTAAAAATTAGATCATGAAAAATAAAGTAGAAGTTAATGCATTGAACGTTTATGAATTTTAGATAACATTCATGGTAATAGATAATATTAATAGGTTCAGATTGTGATATAATTTTTCTATAACTTGATAAGAATAACCAGCATGCTTATTTCTTTCTTTCCATTGTAGTAATTTCTTTCTTTCCATTGTAGTAATGTAATTAAATAATATAATTATTTCAAATGGTTATTTTAGATAAATTATTATTATTTTATTTAAATCATATAAGGTTCAATGAGTGAGAAAAAAAAATGTATGCGGTAGAACCAAAGCAATGTATGTTATTTTATCATTAATTTTGATTTTATAATTTTATGGCTCTTTCAAAGGAATTTAGAAATAATAGTTATAATTTAAATCACCATCTGACCGTTTGTTCCTGTCTTGATAATTCTAAGCACCTGAGCGAGGTTGTGACAACCAAATGCTAAAATGTCACTTAAAAAAAAAAAAAACTGTAAACAAAAAAAATGCCAAAATGTGAAAATGAGCATCACTTCAACAACCTAGATTGATCATTGGCCAACATTATTATCATCCTTAATTATAGAATATAAGTAAGCTCTTGAATAATAGCACAACTGTGAAGTGATCAATTGAACATAATTAGAGAGAAAACAAGGAACTTTAGAGTTGACTCCAAAAAAAAAAATAAATAAATAAAATAAAGTTTGGTGATTCTTACCTCATCTCGACGCCAATGACCAGAAATTCAGGAGGAATGATGGTGAAACAGCAAACCAACTGATGAAAGCCATGGCAGTTGCAGTTTCAAAAGTTGTACAATGATTCATTGAACATATGTTGAGATCATTTCCAATCAAAACTGTTATGCCTGCCGATGCACAAGCTGCTGCAAATGTGAGCGTAGAAGTGATCTGCAGTAGGAAGAGAAATAAAATAATAATTTGCAAGAAAGGACAATATTAATGGTAGTTTACCAAGCTAAATAAAAGTGCTCATTTTACTGCAGAAAAAATAAGACCTATATGAAAGCCATAACGCACAAGTTAAAATGATTTTTGCTGTAATCATATGCTTTAGTCCGTAGACCATAGTTATTTATAATACGGGAGTCTCAGACATCAAATGAAGTCTAAACAATTAACGGTTTCCAATAAAAATTGATTAGTAACCTGTGCAAACCTAAGTAAAAGAAATAATAACATCAGTAGATTAATACGCTTATCTTGTATGCAAAATGCCTACATCAAGTAAAGATCATTAATTCCCCATTATGTCAAAGATTAGTTTCTCACCCCATCTCCAATCGCAAATAATAAGGTGACCAATGGATTTCCCAAGCTGCGCTTAACTAGGAGTGCATATACATCAAGAAAAGCTAAGGAAAGGCTCCATAAGCTTTGCAAGATGGCTGCAGCGACCAGATAGCTGTAAAAAAAAAACTTAGGAGCTATAATTTGCAATTCTCAAATTCACAACCATGGTTGTGTAGTAGATTAAAAAAAAGTAACTTCAAAAGCAGGTATTTAAACAGCAGCAGCAAAGCGAATTTATCAATACAATAAAAGGTATAAATTCAAGTTTTCAAAGAACGACAAGACATTGATCAAGATTCATATTCAAGCATGATAAGCAATAAAGAAAAACTCTGGATACTTGGAAAGGGGCATAAAATGGGATGGCAACATGCAATTTGAGAATTTTCTAACAAAATAACCGAACAGATCCAGGATCTGTGAGAAGCCTGTGATATAACTCATCAGAAAGCCACTAATAGAAGCAAGCACAAGGCTCAAAGCATTACCAAATTCTGCAAGACAACAAACAAATCTGAAATATTTCCTGTGATGATCTAAATTCTTATGAACTTGCACAATCAAGTGCCCAAAAGGAAAAAGTCAATAGTTGAGGCGATCAAAATAAACGAAATGAAAATCACTTCAAATATGCATTAAATTAGAATGGATCTATTAACTTTATTCAAGCTTAGCACTATTCAGGCTTATAGCCGAAACAGCACTTCCAAAACTATCTGATCAAAAATCCCACCCAATATAACAGACGAAAGACTAATCAAGAGTATCCTCATTGTCTAATAAAACCTATAAAGTTTGCAGCTGCATTTTCAAACAGATAAAGTTGAAGCTGAGTGATGTTCACTTGCTTGCAAATCCTGATTATACTACTAGCATATGAATTTCAGAAATGAAAACAATAAAATTAAACATCTTGGTGAATGCTATTATCAAAGGTAATCAATCACAAGAGAGTGTGTTGAATAGTGATAAATGGAAGATCTTATTCTCCTCTGATAACTGAATTCTACAGATAAAAGAGTATCTATGTTAATGTTTTTCTATAATGCTTCAAGAGAGCACCTCTTAATCATGCATTACAGCAAAATTTAGAAGAGTAAAAGACATGAAAAAGGAATTGCAATAAACAATGAGTTTGGAAAGCGAAGCACTTTCAAACTTTGTTTCTTTGAAGACTAAAAATACCTAACCATTGACTGATTTCGAAACCTGGGCATGACCACTTTTGGTTTCCCGAAGTAAGTCGGTTATCTTATTGTAAAAGCTCCATAAAAAATGCAAGACATCTGAATATCTGATGCTCAAAAGATTTTACTCCATTCCCAATACAGTAAAAAAGCATGATCCCGTACTTAAAGAATTAAGCATTTAGGACATGATTTTAATCCTGACTAGACTGAAACATGAACCAAAACAAAGTTAAATATGGACTTGTGTACGCATACAAACTCTACATTCATATTCCAGTCAATTCCAATATTAGAAAAACCATAATCTTTAGGCAAAGTCTAATAAACCTTATGTGAGAGACAATAAGTTGGAGCCCTGGCTTGAAAGGATCGAGATATACAGCACAGTTGAAATTGTCTTGAACATCAGCCGACATAGTTCAAACACGGTTTGTTTATAATAGGCTAATAACGAGTCAAATTAGGAAACAAAAAGTACAATTGGTCCATTTTTTATGTTTTTTTTTCTGGCTCCCAAATGGCCATTTATTTATTTATTATTGTTTGAATTACTTTGAATGCAGTAGGCATGAGATTATTTCACTCTTAATTAAAGTTTTTATTTCCTCGATATATAAGACCATATGTATAGACTTGGATGATTAATTCCTTCTATGATGATAGAAAATAAAATAAAATAAACTACACCATTGTTGGCTTCCTAGTTTTTGCTATAACTTAAAATAAAATCCAACAAATTGATGAGGAGAAGATACTGCCCAAAAATTTCAGCCCCAATTTGCGTTGACTTTATGACCTGGGGTTTGAGGTTTCATATAGGCGTAAGCTCCTATAATTAATTACCCCTCATGATAGAATGAGAGCAATTTCGATTAAGACTAGTCATTGAAAATTGAAGATTCGACATATAGTAGAAGCAAACATATAGTTTAATTTGTAAAATTTCTCACTTGGGAGTTTAAAGAGGATAGTGGGGAAACGATGATGAGCCCGATCAAGATCACATGCTTACGTCATCTCGGGTCATCATGATCTGTGATCTACTTAGTCAGAGGAGATAGTCAACCTAACCTGACTGAAAAATCTTTATCAACAACTATGAGTTGCGTCGTCCAAGAGATCCCTGTGGATATGGGGTGGATATGTCTAAGGGAAAAAATTTAAGGGTGTGTTTAGGTGGCGATGTGGTGTGCACTGTTTGTTGTTTGACACGCTTTTTCAAAAAGCCACAGTGGAAAATTGCATTTTGCAACCAGACCTAGCCAAGTGCGGTGGTTGCTAGAAAATTATGGTTTGACTTTTTAAAAATAAAAAAATTACAAATGTCACAACAACTTTTTGAACAACACTTTCTTTTGTAGCATTTCTGTGATGTGTCTTCAACTAGCTACAGCTGTAGCTGCCCCAAACAAACCATAAGTCGACTTTAGCCAATAGAAGACTTTATGTCAATCTGATGTATCATTATGTTCACAAGTTAAAAAACAGAAGGTCATCAGGGAACATAGAAGTGGCAGTCATAATCGTAATATAATGGTGTCATTTGAAAGCAACTACCCGATTGAATGATTTTAATAGTAATCACTATTTTGTGAAGTATGTATCAAAACACGCAGACAAATGACTCGATCACGTCCTCACGGCATGAAATTACTTTGAGTGTGAATATAGTGATACATTTGATGTGACCTTAGCTCTTTTGTGAGTCGAAGTCAATAAAAAAATTTATCACTCTCGACAAACTGTTACATGATGATGAATGTGATGTGCTTTAAATTTTTAAGTGATAAATTTTACTTAATAATTAATTTCTTACTTTGAAATTTTGATTTGTAAAACTTAATTAAAAAAAAAAAAGATGACCTCTCCAATTGAGATTTTCAGTCAGTATGGTCATCATCCGGGATTTGACATTTAAAACTTTTATTCTTAATTCATTTAAAATTTGTCAATTTTGATATATTTAACATATTACTCATATCTTCTCGAGTCCTAACAAAAAGGAGAATCAGATTTGATGATTTGAACTTGCAAATTTTACATATGTGTTTTGAACATTATTGTAACTTACGAGACTCGTTAACTACAGTCCTAAAGAGGAGAAGAATCAGACTAATCGAGTTGGACTTACAACCCTACGCTATCGACAAAGCGGTCTGTTTGATTGTTTGATTGTTCGATTTAAAATATAAATTATTTGAGTACAAGTTTAGCCTTAACCCATGTAGTATTCTCAAACCAATAGAGTTTAGGCATTAATCAATTTGTAGAGCCCAAGCAAATGAATATGGTGAATTACATAAATTTTGAGGAAGTATATTTTTAAAAAAATTTGCACATTACAATTAAATGTATCAAAATTAGAAGGTGTCTTAAAATGTAAATGCAAGCTTTGATATTATTAAACTTTATTGATTGCAAAAACACTGTTACTAAATGCATGCATATAGCTTTACAGCATGCATCTTGATAGGATTGCACAATTCTTGGGGGTAATTATATTCAAATTAAATACTATTGTACAACTAATAAAGTCATAAAATCATTTAAACAACTTCAAAATTTGTGAGAATGTTAGAGAAGGTCTACTGTTCATTGAAGAAAAGGAAAGCTGCTTTGGAGCGTGGAACGACAATAAAGTTGCGGTGAAGGAGATAAGGGCTTCAGCTCTATCGCGCGGTTTTTGAATTGGAGAAAGAGGACAAAGCGAAGGGGGAATAGTGTAGTCTCAGAGGTCCTTGTATGCAACAATTTTTTGCGCTCTACCAAGCAAAGGAAGGAGAAGAGGGGTCGCTATGAGTTTCGAAGCCTTTGCACGCGATGATCCCGTCGTTGCTGTGAAACTAAAGAAGAGAGAAGGCGAGGCTTGTACAGCTTCAATGGAAAGACCATGAGTGCTAGTTCTAAAATAGGAGGACAACCCATGGGGTTTCTATGCTCAAACAGCGAGGAGAAGAACAATAGGGAGAGAAAAGTGAAGACGTGCGAGCGTTTCGGTTTGGAGAGGAGAAGTGGGATTGCTTGTGAGTTTTGCAGTTTCTGAAAGGAAGAAGAGAGAAGTGGGAAAAGGAAAACAAAGAGAGCCTTCACTTTCTTTTTTATATACATTTTAGACTCATTTTTTATAACATTGCACTTTAATAGAATGTATTTTATATTTTTTTGGTTTCAGGTACAAGAGGACTTTTGGAAAAAAATGAGCGAAAATGGAGTAAAAAAGGGTCAAATTGAGCAAATGAGCAAAAAGTGAACTTGACGCATAGACGTGAAACTCTGTAGGTGAAAACAGAGAGTCTGCCGCCATAGCGCCAGGATCCGACGCCAGACAGTTAACCAGAGCTTCTAGAAGGTTGGCGCCACAGTTGGGCACATAGACGCTAGAATCGATTTTTCTAAAAGTTCAATGTATGTGGACGAATTTTGAAGGAGCATTTGAAGAAACTCTGGGAGATTTCAAAGGTTATATTAAATGAGGCTTGGTGTCTCTTAAAAGGAGGAAGGAGTGTGAGAGAGGAAGGAGAGTGTGCGAGAGTGTGCATGTGTGCGTATGTGTAAGGAGGGAAGTGTCTTTCGGAGACTTGATGACTTTTGGGAATTTGGAGAGAAGTGTATGGGATTGTTATTTGTTGTGCAAGGATGATTTGAATCTTATGTAAAAATAGGTTTTAGACTATTTTTTTATTTGTTTAAATTATTGCAATATAATTGTATGAATTCAATGTCATTTGCAACGAAGAATCCAAGTGTTTTCTCCATGCTCAGTGAGTAGTTTTCTTTACTCTTTATCCTTATAATAAGAATTAATCATGTGTAGAATTATAATTGTTTAAAACTTATCTTATTTCATACTTGTGATGCTTTATTACTTCGTACTTAATTTACATATTCAATCTGGTCAATTGGCGCGTTAAAACTTGTTGTG